TTCTTCACAAAGTCAAGTTTGTGAAGGAATTCTGCCTTCACAAAGTCCAGTTTGTGAAGGATTCTGCCTTCACAAAGTCAGGTTTGTGAAGAATTCTGCCTTCACAAAGTCAAGTTTGTGAAGAATTCTGCCTTCACAAAGTCAAGTTTGTGAAGAATTCTGCCTTCACAAAGTCAAGTTTGTGAAGGATTCTGCCTTCACAAAGTCAAGTTTGTTAAGAATTCTGCCTTCACAAAGTCCAGTTTGTGAAGGCTTCTGCCTTCAACAAAAAGTCCAGTTGTGACAAGGAAATTCTGGCTTCACAACCAAGTTTGTGAAGAATTCGGGCCTTCAACAAAGTCAAGTTTGTGGAAGGAAATTCCTGGCTTCACAAAGTCAAGTTTGTGACGAATTCTGCTCAAAAGTCAAAGTTTTGTGAGATCCTGCCTTCAAAAAGTCAGTTGTGAAGGATCCTGGCTTCCACAAAGTCAAGTTTGATGAGGATTTCTCTGTCTTCCCAAAGTCACGTTTTGTGGAAGAGGATTCTTTTTCTGCCTGTCACAAAGTCAATTTGTGAAGGCTTCCTGCCTTCACAAAGTCAAGTTTGTGAAGGATTCTGCCTTCACAAAGTCCAGTTTGTGAAGAATTCTGCCTTCACAAAGTCCAGTTTGTGAAGGATTCTGCCTTCACAAAGTCAAGTTTGTGAAGGATTCTGCCTTCACAAAGGCAAGTTTGTGAAGGATCCTGCCTTCACAAAGTCAAGTTTGTGAAGGATTCTGCCTTCACAAAGTCAAGTTTGTGAAGAATGCTGCCTTCACAAAGTCAAGTTTGTGAAGGATTCTGGTTCCACAAAGTCAAGTTTGTGAAGGATTCTGCCTTCACAAAGTCAAGTTTGTGAAGGATTCTGCATTCACAAGTCAAGTTTGTGAAGGATTCTGCCTTCACAAAGTCCAGTTTGTGAAGAACTCTGCCTTCACAAAGTCAAGTTTGTGAAGGATTCTGCCTTCACAAAGTCAAGTTTGTGAAGGATTCTGCCTTCACAAAGTCCAGTTTGTGAAGGAATCTGGCTTCACAAAGTCAAGTTTTGTGAAGGATCCTGCCTTCACAAAGTCAAGTTTGTGAAGAACTCTGCCTTCACAAAGTCAAGTTTGTGAAGGATTCTGGCTTCACAAAGTCAAGTTTGTGAAGGAGTCTGCCTTCACAAAGTCAAGTTTGTGAAGGATTCTGCCTTCACAAAGTCAAGTTTGTGAAGGATCCTGCCTTCACAAAGTCCAGTTTGTGAAGGATTCTGCCTTCACAAAGTCAAGTTTGTGAAGGTTTCTGCTGCCTTCGCAGAGTCAAATTTGTGAAGGATTCTGCCTTCACAAAGTCAAGTTTGTGAAGGGTTTTGCCTTCACAAAGTCAAGTTTGTGAAGGATTTTGCCTTCACAAAGTCAAGTTTATGAAGCATTCTGCCTTCACAAAGTCAAGTTTGTGAAGGATTTTGCCTTCACAAAGTCAAGTTTGTGAAGGATTCTGCCTTCACAAAGTCAAGTTTGTGAAGGATTCTGGATTCACAAAGTCAAGTTTGTGAAGAACTCTGCCTTCACAAAGTCAAGTTTGTGAAGAACTCTGCCTTCACAAAGTCAAGTTTGTGAAGGATTCTGGCTTCACAAAGTCAAGTTTGTGAAGGAGTCTGCCTTCACAAAGTCCAGTTTGTGAAGGAGTCTGCCTTCACAAAGTCCAGTTTGTGAAGGATTCTGCCTTCACAAAGTCCAGTTTGTGAAGGATCCTGCCTTCACAAAGTCCAGTTTGTGAAGGATTTTGCCTTCACAAAGTCCAGTTTGTGAAGGATTCTGCCTTCACAAAGTCAAGTTTGTGAAGGATTCTGCCTTCACAAAGTCAAGTTTGTGAAGGATTCTGCCTTCACAAAGTCCAGTTTGTGAAGGAGTCTGCCTTCACAAAGTCAAGTTTGTGAAGGATTCTGCCTTCACAAAGTCAAGTTTGTGAAGAATTCTGCCTTCACAAAGTCCAGTTTGTGAAGAATTCTGGCTTCACAAAGTCAAGTTTGTGAAGGATTCTGGCTTCACAAAGTCAAGTTTGTGAAGGATTCTGCCTTCACAAAGTCAAGTTTGTGAAGGATTTTGCCTTCACAAAGTCAAGTTTGTGAAGGATTCTGCCTTCACAAAGTCAAGTTTGTGAAGGTTCTGCCTTCACAAAGTCAAGTTTGTGAAGGATTCTGCCTTCACAAAGTTCACAAAGTCAAGTTTGTGAAGGATTCTGCCTTCACAAAGTCCAGTTTGTGAAGGATCCTGCCTTCACAAAGTCAAGTTTGTGAAGGATTCTGCCTTCACAAAGTCAAGTTTGTGAAGAATGCTGCCTTCACAAAGTCAAGTTTGTGAAGGATTCTGGTTCCACAAAGTCAAGTTTGTGAAGGATTCTGCCTTCACAAAGTCAAGTTTGTGAAGGATTCTGCATTCACAAGTCAAGTTTGTGAAGGATTCTGCCTTCACAAAGTCCAGTTTGTGAAGAACTCTGCCTTCACAAAGTCAAGTTTGTGAAGGATTCTGCCTTCACAAAGTCAAGTTTGTGAAGGATTCTGCCTTCACAAAGTCCAGTTTGTGAAGGAATCTGGCTTCACAAAGTCAAGTTTGTGCAGAATTCTGCCTTCACAAAGTCAAGTTTGTGAAGGATTATGCCTTCACAAAGTCCAGTTTGTGAAGGAATCTGGCTTCACAAAGTCAAGTTTGTGCAGGGTTCTGCCTTCACAAAGTCAAGTTTGTGAAGGATTCTGCCTTCACAAAGTCCAGTTTGTGAAGGATTCTGGCTTCACAAAGTCAAGTTTGTGAAGGATTCTGCCTTCACAAAGTCAAGTTTGTGAAGGATTCTGCCTTCACAAAGTCAAGTTTGTGAAGGATCCTGCCTTCACAGAGTCAAGTTTGTGAAGAACTCTGCCTTCACAAAGTCAAGTTTGTGAAGGATTCTGGCTTCACAAAGGCAAGTTGGGCTTGAGACAATTCTTCCTCTTTCATGTCCAAGCTAGGCTTCCTGATAGCTCCGCCTTGGATGCATTGGCTTTTTTCCAGGCCTCTTTTCCCATCGCCTTTTTCCAGACTTGCTGCTTTGTCTCTGCTTTGTCTCTGCTTTGTCCTGTCTTTCTCCATGGCTTTTTTTCAAGCCTCAGAATTTGCAAAAAAAATTGAGCCAAAGAAAGGGCTGCAGAAACCAATTGCCATACATAGATCTTCAGAATCTTCAGACTATATATACATGAAACTGGATGCACATCCCCTTCAACACAGCTTCAGTCAGCCAAGCACTCTTTTTCTAATTAATGCTCCAAGGAAGTCTTGTGATTGAACATGGCTGCAGGTATCTCGAAATAATATATCTACAAAAAATCCTTAAGAATTCATTTTTCAATAATTATTGTTTTTGTTTTCAATTAAAAACAAACAATAATTATCGTTTTTTTTCAATAAAATATTGAACTTTTTCCCGAGAGCGTCTGAGCGCAGGGTTCTTCCAATAGTGGGGGTCTGTAAAACATCTTCTCATCTTCACATCTCATCTTCACATCCTCTCATCTTCACATCTCATCTTCACATCCTCTCATCTTCACATCTTTTCATCTTTACATCCTCTCATCTTCACATCCTCTCATCTTCACATCTTTTCATCTTTACATCCTCTCATCTTCACATCCTCTCATCTTCACATCTGCTCATCTTCACATCTTCTCATCTTCACATCTGCTCATCTTCACATCTGCTCATCTTCACATCTGCTCATCTTCACATCTTCTCTCACATCTGCTCATCTTCACATCTGTTCATCTTCACACCTTCTCTCACATCTTCTCTCACATCTTCTCTCACATCTTCTTCACATCTTCACATCTGCTCATCTTCACACCTTCCCATCTTCACATCTGCTCATCTTCACATCTGCTCATCTTCACATCTGCTCATCTTCACATCTGCTCATCTTCACATCTGCTCATCTTCACATCTGCTCATCTTCACATCTTCTTATCTTCACACCTGCTCACCTTCTCTCTCACGCCTTCTTTTTATCTTTCTCTCTTAAGGCCGAGGGTGGTGCCGGCGGCGAGTCACGAAACGTCAACCCTTTCGCACGAAATGAGGGTCGATCGGCAAAAACTGAGGTAAAATTGCGATTTGACTTGTGCCGGAGCAACCCTTTCGCAAGAAATGAGGGTCGATCGTCAAAAACTGAGGAAAAATTGCGATTTTACTTGTGCTAAAGCAACCCTTTCGCACGAAATGAGGGTCGATCGGCAAAAACTGAGGTAAAATTGCGATTTTACTTGTGCCGGAGCAACCCTTTCGCACGAAATGAGGGTCGATCGGCAAAAACTGAGGTAAAATTGCGATTTTACTTGTGCTAAAGCAACCCTTTCGCACGAAATGAGGGTCGATCGTCAAAAACTGAGGTAAAATTGCGATTTTACTTGTGCCGGAGCAACCCTTTCGCACGAAATGAGGGTCGATCGTCAAAAACTGAGGAAAAATTGCGATTTTACTTGTGCCGGAGCAACCCTTTCGCACGAAATGAGGGTCGATCGTCAAAAACTGAGGAAAAATTGCGATTTTACTTGTGCCGGACCCAGAGTACGCCTTATTGAAAAGATTCAATAATTCACGTCAATTTCAATAATCACAACACAAACCAATAAAACCTTCATTTTCTTATTGGTTAGTGTTTCAATAACTTTATTGAAATGAACCAATAAAGCTTATTGAAATGGAATCCTATTTCAATAAGCTCCATTTCAATAAGTTTAATGGTTCGAGTCATTAGATTCATAGAGCTGCTAAGCTGACATGTTTGAAGCTCTGCACATGGGTGTCAAACTGACATGCTGAAACATCTTCAGTTCAGCTGCACTTTTTTCCTTTGACTGTGCAAATCTTGGTCCCCAAGCTAGTGGGCTGCAGCCCTTTGGCAGGACTTTGAAGCCCTTTTGCAGGGCCAGGGTGGAGCCCTTTCCCAAGGCCCAAAGCTTTTTTACACAACTTCTACTCACCACTGCTGCTCTCAGACTCCAAAGTTTCTGATCCATGGATGTATTTCAGCCACATTCCCAACCTGAACCTCCACAGGACTTGTTCAGGTACCAAGTGGGGAGGACTTCCATTCAGACAGGCATGGGCCAGGCTGGCCATAAATCCCACCATTGTTTCACCTGAGTATGTTGAGACCAGCTTTGGGTTCAAATAGGCAGCTTGAGCAGGCATGTGGGCAACAAGGTGGTGCTTGTGGATCAGGTTCCATTGGAGCAACCCAGCTTCCATAGCCAGCTTTGCACACCTTGCAAAGTGAAGAAGACACAGGTCTGTAACTTTTTTGAACTGCAAGATGCTCTCCTTGCCCATGTGAAGGCCACAGTCCATGAGCTCATACATGCTGTTCAAGTTCTGTAAGCATTGGAGCCTATGGAGGCTATAGGCATCATCCTCATCAGTGTAGAACTGCGGAATCTCTGCCATCACAGGCACAAGGTAGCGAATCTGCTTTGCCTTGAATCCTGTTAAATCAGGAAACTTTTCATACTTCTTCTCCCTGGCTGAAAAATTTGTGAGGCTCATTTTTTTAATCCTGTGGCTGGCATCTATGCCTTGTTCCAAGTACTGTTGCCTGATCTGCCTGTAGACAGCCTGGAGGTTTTGATCCTGGGTCCCAGCTCCAGCATGGCCTCTCACAACTAGGTCAAAGAAGGTGTTGGCCAGGGCATGTGCTGCCACCCCTTCTTCTAGGCAGTGCAAAGTATCATAGTGGACACTGAATGTATTCAGGCCAGGTACTGCACCAAGAGGATGGCCACCAGGAAGAGGTGTCCCAGGCTTGGTCAAGGTAGATCTCCACTTTGCTGTAGCTCTAAAGTCATTGTGAGGTATGTCGCTCTTGTTTGCTTGGCAAGAAAAGCAGCAGGAGTTGTGGCTGTGCCCAGGCAGCTTGAGTTCATTTTGCAGGAACTCCCCATCTGCAGTGACACAGAACAAGCAGCCTCTGACCCTCTGTGTCCACAGATGGGAGCCACTTTGGTCTGCCCTCTTTGTTTTTTGCAGGCCATGGTTTCCCCAAATGGTCAAATTCTGGAAATTTGCCATAATAGAGATGCTGGAATGACCAAGCAAGCACTTTCCAAACCACTGTCATGGTGTCTTCATCTGGGTTTTCACTCTTGTGCTGGCAGCCCTTGGGGATAGCTGCTAGGAGCATTTGGCTGGATGCAACATTGTCAGCTGATAGGAGTGATCTCATTGAGATGATAGTGATTGAATCCCACTTTTGAAATTGACCACCATCCCCATGAATGACCAGAGGCAGGTACAGGTGCCTGCTGCCCTTCATGGGATTCTTGCACAGCTTTGGATCAGCAGCATCATGCTCATCCCAAAAGCTCTGCAACCCAGAAAAGCCAGAAACATTGTCATGATGTTCCACCCAAGAGAACCACTCATGGGGCAAGAACACTGCCAAAGTCTGATTTGCTAGGTACCAGCTGTCTGTGCCTTTCTTCAAGACTGGAGCTTCAAAGCAGTAAGGCACAGGGAGGTCCAAGGAATCATTTTTGCAAAACCTTGAAGTGATTTGTCCTGCCACATGGTTTTCATTCCTGCCAAAGTTTCCCAGGCTGGCCAAGACTTGGATGTCATCTGTTGCAGCACCAGACTTCACAGCAGCCAAAGCAAGGTGTTGAACAGAAGGGCCCTTAGATGGCAACAGGTTCATCCACAACAGTGTGGCAAAATGCTGGTGTCAAAAGGGAGTGGGCAGCTGAATGTTTCTGCCACTGCATCATGGGACAAATTAAGCCAAGACTAGAAACAGACATCCCATGTGCAAATTGCTCCAGAAGTGCTAGGCCAAGAGGGCTCAAATGCTCCTCTGCAGTGGGCTCCTCAGGGACATCATGCTTCTTTCTCTTCCATTTGGCCATATTCCCCAAGCCCTTGTTCAGGGCCAGCAGGCTAACCCAGGCCCTTTTGCAAGACCCACAAAAGCCACTGCCCAACAAAAGCTTCTAGGGAAGGGGCCATCTTGAAGCCAAAAGCTTACCACAAACAAGCAAGTGTGTTCCATGTGCTAAAGCTTGGCCATGCAACAGTAGCCCATGGCTTTGGGCCCACAGCTTTACAAGGCAAAGGTGAGGTGGAAGCATTTTTTACCTTCTCATGCCTGCTGTCATGTGCCACATGGTCATGCGCCTTCTGGCAGAACTACCAAACATAGCCCTTTGGCAAGGCCAACACTGACTCTTTGTCAGGCCCTTGCACAAGACCAAGCTAACAATATCTTAGCCCTTTTGCAAGGCCACCCAAAAATAATAACTCACTTCCTCTTGGCCTTCTTGATCTGCAGGGCAGCATCAAACAGCTTCCCTTTGGCTTCTTCCAGGCTGACCTTTTTCCCTTTCTTGTCCAGCTTCTGAAGGTCAGCCAGGCACAGGTCCAAAGACTTAGCCTTTGCTGCACCAACCTCCTTCTTCACTCCTTTCAGGAGCTTCATCATTCTCTTCACCCTCACTTGGGCCTCTTCCTTAGCAACTTTGCTTCCCATCTCAGAGAGAAGGTCAGCTTCCACCACCTGATCATCCTCATCTTTCTTAGGGCTGGCTGCTGCCTCTTCTTCACTTGCTTGCCCAGACTGCTTGTCCATGATTGCCAACTTGCTTTTGTCTTTGCTCAGCACATCCTCCAAAGCTTTGGCAGCCTTGGAGCTTGCAGCAGGCCCTTCCCCATCTGCCAGAAGGCCTTGGGCTTTGAGCTCCAGCCACTGACAGGCTTCTCCTTTGGCCTTTGCTTCACCTTTTAGTTCATGCTGGCTTTTCTCTTCAGTCCATGTGATTATTTTCCTCAAGGTGAACTGCCACTCAGCAGGGTCAGCAGGGTCTTTTCTGACACCTATGCTGCCTCTCTTTACCTGGCAAGGCAAGCTAATTTCACAAAAAAACATGTTTGCACCAGCTTTCAGCACAAACCTTAAACATGCCAAGCTGCCCTTCTCATGCACTCATGGAGGCCAAACCGCTGCAGCACCACAGCAAAAGGCACCCACTCCTCTGAGCTCCTTTCACCTTAGAAAAAACATTGCAGGGTGCAGAAGCACAGACCCAGCCAGGTGGAAGGAGCAGCCACAAGCAACCAAGGCACCAGAGCTTTTGGTGTAAGACACCAGCTCCTGGAGGTACACCTCCCTTTTCCCCTTCAGGTCTCCTCCCAGCTTCAAGAAGCAGCCCAAAAGCTTCTTCTTTGCTGGGTCACTGCCTTTTCCTTTGGCCACTTCCTGCCATAGGTTATCACACTCCTTGTCCTTCATGCTGGCTCTGGCAGAGGAGAACCTCTGCCACAGTGCTTCCCTCTGACCTTTTGTCAGGGTGTCCAGGAACTGCCCCACATCCTGGTTGCCTTTCTTCTGAAAGGCAGCCATCTTGTCTTCCAAGCTCATTCCCTCTCCTTCATCTTTCTTCAGCTGGTCTAAGGCACTTGCAGGCCTTTTTAACTTCAAGTTCAGCACCTTCATGACCTTTTTGGGTGCCATCTTGGGTAGCCCTCTCTCAAGGCCAAAAAAACCTTGCCAAAGAGCCCTTTGGCAAGGCCCAATCTACCAGTTTGTTTTGGGTGTCTCCAAGCCTAAATGCTGCTGAACAGAAGTTTCCTCAGTGGTGGCCATGAAATATGGCAGTGGCAACACTCTCATGGCAGCATTTTGTTGGGAGGCAAGTTTTCACCAGAAAGTGGAGGAAAGACACTAGCCTCATATGATCTCATATGAGCTCATATGAGGCAAGCTGCCCTCATATGAGGTAGTCTTGCCTCATATGAGACAGTTTTTGCCTCATATGAGGTGCCTTCACCTCATATGATCTCATATGAGCTCATATGAGGTTTTTGCTTTTCCAAACCAAGCCCAACCCAAGCTGATGGCATATTTTCCAGAAGGGCATGTTTGCTGTGCTCTGTTTTGGGTGCCCTTTTTCAAGACAGCTGATGCCAGCCCTTTTGCAGGACCCAATGCTGGCCAAGCCCTTTTTGCAGGGCCCAAAGTGGGTGAAACTCCCTCACTTCTTTTGCTTTCTTCCCTTGGGCTTCACCTCATGCCAGCCATCAGAGGACTCCTCATCCTTCACTTCAATCCCATCCAGTGCCCCTGCAGCTTCAGCCCTCTTGCCATGCAGGTCAGCTGGTGGGTGTGTTGCCCTCTTTGGCCTGGCAGTCTTGCCTTGGCCTTTTCTCCCAGGCTGTGCTGGGGCTGGCCCCTGGGATCCTGGCAAGGTTGCCAGGAGGAAATTGGGTGAAAATAGTGAAGATGGTGAGAAGGGTGATGCTACAACATATCCAAACATTTTACTGTAGTGTGTGTGTGGCATACCAAGAACTGCACTTATGAACACATATGGTGCATTTACAGTGGTTAAATTCCAAATGTTGGCTGTGGCTGACAGAATGCATGGGTGCCCCAAATGGCAGGTGCCAAACAAATATGTTGGCTGTGGTTGGTGTCCATAGAAGTGTGTGCAGCATCACAAATTCAAAGGCCCAATGATGTATGTAGATGCACCTATGAAATTGCCATAGTGACATGCATGAGAAATTAATTTCTATATAGAGGTGTTTGGATGCTGTGGTGGCCCCCCTCCTCCTTTTGCACCAGCACCAGCTGCAGCACTGCCAGTGGCCACTGGTCCTGTAATGCCACAAAGACATAGCCAGCAAACATGTGGAAAGGAGTAGGGTTGCAAAAAATCAAGAATGTGTACACACCAGTCCTGGCTGGTGCCTGTGTGGCTTTGGCTGCTTGGGCTGCTCCACAGGCTGCTCCATGGTCTGGTGGTGCCAGCCCCATTGGTGTGGCTGGCCACCTTGACCTTGGTAGTAGGCATGGTGGTGCCACATGGCTTGGGCTTCCACCAGCTGGGCCTGCTGCATCTGCCATTGTTGCCATTGGGCAGATGCAGCTGCAGCCTGGGCAGCTTGGGCAGCAGCTGCAGCATTTCCTGCTGCTGCCTGTGCCAGCTGGGCTGCTTCCAGCTTGTTTTTCCTGTCTTCTTGCCTGTCCAGGAGCCTTTTCAGCCTGCATGCTCCCAAGGCACCCAGCTTCTCCTTTTCCTCTTGGCTCTCATTCTTGCAGGTTTTCATGAGCCACCTTCTCTTGGCCCTTTCTTTCTGTGAGCCACATTTGTTTTTCTTCTGGGTGCTGCTGGAAGGCACTTCCTCCTCTTCTGTATCCTCACCATCTGGTTCCCACCTCTGGTTTTTGGACCATGCTTGCCATTGCTCCTCTTTTTCTTCCCACCAGTCATCCCACTTTTTACCACCTTTTTTCCAGTCCTCCTCCCACCATTCATTTTTCTGCTCATGCTTGCCATCCTTTTTGGCAGGCTCCTTCTTTTCTTCTGCAGCCAGGTCAGCCCAAGACTTCCTGTTCCTTCTTGGAACTTGCTCAGCCTCCCAGTCTGGCTCCTCTTTTGGTTCCATTGCCAGCCCTTTTGCAGGACCTTCCAAGTCCAAGCCCCTTTCCAAGGCCTGTAGTGGGAGCCCTTGTACAAGGCCCAGTTGCTGTGTGCAGAAGCCAGGCCCCTGCAGGGCCCAGCACAAGACTAAGGCGATGACTTGGGCCATACACTTCAGATTGCAGTTTGTGTAGCTGTGTTGGATTCACACTGGTGCTGCTTGGTCCCCCCCACAATCCCACAAGTAACATGCTCCAGCTTGGCATTTTTTTGCTGGGACACAGCAGTTCTCTGTCTAAGCCCTTTTGCAAGGCCCAACTGCAGACAGCTGCAGGACCTACTTGGCAAACTTGCTGAGGAGCTTTGCCCTCTCAGCAACTACATCAGCCTTTGTGGCCTTTGCCTTCTTGCAGGCAGGGAGCAAAAGTTCCACCAATTCCTTGTGTGTCTTGGTTGTGTTGCTAGCCTGAAGCTTTGTGATCCCTATGATTAATCTCTTGCTGTCTCCTGGCCCAGGGACATGTTGTATGTAGGCTTGGTTTTTGCCCCCTCCAATGGAAAGGCTAGCCTGGTGAATGAGCACTTTTTCAGTGCCCTTGCACTTGCTAGGCCCTTTTCCAGGGCCTGTCTTTGCTTTAGGCCCTTTTGCAAGGCCTGCAACACTCACCTTCCCCTTCTTCTTGCCCACCAGCTTGGAGGCAGGCTTCTTTATGTTGCAGCCTGCTGCAGCTCTCCAGTCCTTTTTCACCACAGGTGGTGGGGAACTTTCCATGGCATCCAGGTCGCTTTTTTTGGCCTTCTTTGTCACAGCCTCCTTCTCATCCTCATCTTCCTTCTCTGTCTCATCATATTCCTCTTCTTCTTCTTCTTCTGACTCCTCCTCCTCCTCTTTTCCATGGGCTGTCATGGCTGGGAAGCCCTTGGAGTCCATGCTCACATCTGACACATTTGGCAGCAGCTTTCTCTTTGGCTTCTCAATCACCATCTTCTTTTTCACCTGCTCCATCAGCTGGCATTGGCTTTCATCCAGCTTGGAGCAAAACCTTTGCCATGCTGTGGGGGAAGCAGTGCACCTTCTCCAGTGGTTTAGAACCACAAGCAGTGCATCTGCTGCCCTCCCTGCCAGCAAGCCCTTCTCACATGTCCAGTGTGCAGACAGCAGCTCACAGCCCCATGTCTGCTGCAAGTACACCATGCTGTGCTTCAGGTACCTGTACTTCACCTTTGCAGAAGGTGACACCTCCACCAGGGCAGCCAAGAGCTTGCTGAGCTTGCACAGGCTCCTGCAAGATTCTGCCTGTTGTGGCTCCAGCCTCAAATATTCATGCAAATTCAAGGCTTCTTTGATCCCCATTGCCCGAGTATAAGCATAAAGTTTGTCATCCAGTTTTTGCTGGCTTAACTCAGGGAATGGGACCCTCTTAGCAGGTTGTGAATTTCCTGCACCTTTCCTTCTTTTCCTCCCAGGTTTCATGAGGGACATGGGCAGCCCTCTTTGCAGGGCCAGCTGCAGATAGCCCTCTTTGCAGGGCCAATCTTCCAACAGGCAAGGTTTTGAAGCTGCTGAGATTGAGCATAACTGCAACAGAGAGATTCAAGTTTATAGGACATGCTGCAAACACATTTGCATCTGCCAAGCCCATGGCAAAAGAAGCAGCCTGCAACACCATACATCCCCACTGCTCTCCATTTTTTCTCCTTCATTGGTGTCTTCTCCATGTGTATGGTCATTTTTAAGACCTTTTGCTTCAGCCCTTTTGCAGGACCATTGGCTTCAGCCCTTTTGCAAGACCTTAAGGTGGCACTGTCTTTTTGCAAGTGGTCACCTTCTTGTGTCCACAGTATCTCCCAGCCTGGTCCTTCTTTTGGCCACTGGGTTCCAGTGACTGAACCCAAACTGCAAGTATGCTTCCCTCCAAGAAGCATTGCAGTGGTAGCACTTCAAACCCCATGTGGGATCTGCCAAGTGCCTCCTCCACAGCCATCCACCACAGTGAGGTGTTGTGCACTCCAGGTAGGACCAGTAGGCATCCACCTCTTCAAAGCTGTTGCGAGGAGGCCTGATGAGCATGTCCAAGGGGTCAATCTCTGTGGCCATGGCTCTTAGAAATTGCCCTTTTGCAGGACCAAAAAAAAGCCCTTTTGCAGGACCAAAAGCCAAATACCCTTTTGCAGGGGACAGTTGGGCAGTGACCTTGCCCAAGCTTGCCCCTATAGCTTGTGAGTTGAAAGGCTGCTGGTGGAATTGAACATGAGTGAAACACAAATATAAATATATACTTGTGGATGGGTTGTAGGTTCCATTCATGATTAGTGGATTGGAATGGGGTCTAAACCTAAAACTTTCTGTGAAACAGCACAAACACCCTTATTGAAACTATTGAAACAAACTAGTAAAGTTATTGAAACAAACCAATAACCCTTATTGAAACAAACCAATAAAGTTATTGAAACAAACCAATAATTTTATTGAAACACAAACCAATAATATTATTGGTTTGTTTCAATAAAAACACTATTTCAATAATGGCATGACAAACCAATAACTTTATTGAATCTTTTCAATAAGGCGTACTCTGGGGAGCAACCCTTTCGCACGAAATGAGGGTCGATCGTCAAAAACTGAGGAAAAATTGCGATTTTACTTGTGTGTAAAAGCTTCTGTGTGTAAAAGCGTCTGTGTGTAAAAGCGTCTGTGTGTAAAAGCGTCTGTGTGTAAAAGCGTCTGTGTGTAAAGTAAAAGCGTCTGTGTGTAAAAGCGTCTGTGTGTAAAAGTGTTTGTGTGTAAAAGCCTCTGTGTGTAAAAGCGTCTGTGTGTAAAAGCGTCTGTGTGTAAAAGACTGTGTGCAAAAGCGTCTGTGTGTAAAAGCGTCTGTGTGTCAAAGCGTCTGTGTGTAAAAGCGTCTGTGTGTAAAAGCGTTTGTGTGTAAAAGTGTTTGTGTGTAAAGCCTCTGTGTGTAAAAGCGTCTGTGTGTAAAAGCGTCTGTGTGTAAAAGCGTCTGTGCGTAAAGTAAAAGCGTCTGTGTGTAAAAGCGTCTGTGTGTAAAAGCCTCTGTGTGTAAAAGTGTTTGTGTGTAAAAGCGTCTGTGTGTAAAAGTCTCTGTGTGTAAAAAGCGTCTGTGTGTAAAAGCGTCTGTGTGTAAAAGCGTCTGTGTGTAAAAGCGTCTGTGTGTAAAAGCGTCTGTGTGTAAAAGCGTCCGTGTGTAAAAGCGCTTGTGTGTAAAAGCGTCTGTGTGTAAAAGTCTCTGTGTGTAAAAGCGTCTGTGTGTAAAAGAGTCTGTGTGTAAAAAGCGTCTGTGTGTAAAAGCGTCTGTGTGTAAAAGCGTCTGTGTGTAAAAGCTTCTGTGTGTAAAAGCCTCTGTGTGTAAAAGCGTCTGTGTGTAAAAGCATCTGTGTGTCAAAGCGTCTGTGCGTAAAAGCATCTGTGTGTAAAAGCGTCTGTGTGTAAAAGCGTCTGTGTGTAAAAGCTTTTGTGTGTAAAAGCGTCTGTGTGTAAAAGCTTTTGTGTGTAAAAGGGTCTGTGTGTAAACGCGTCTGTGTGTAAAAGCGTCTGTGTGTAAGAGTGTCTGTGTGTCAAAGTGTTTGTGTGTAAAGGCGTCTGTGTGTAAAAGCGTCTGTGTGTAAAAGCGTCTGTGTGTAAAAGCGTCTGTGTGTAAAAGCGTCTGTGTGTAAAAGAACCTATGTGTAAAAAGCGTTTGTGTGTAAAAGCGTCTGTGTGTAAAAGCGTCTGTGTGTAAAAGCGTCTGTGTGTAAAAGCTTCTGTGTGTAAAAGCTTCTGTGTGTAAAAGCGCCTGTGTGTGTCAAAGTCTCTGTGTGTAAAAGTGTTTGTGTGTAAAAGGGTTTGTGTGCAAAATCGTCTGTGTGTAAAAGCGTCTGTGTGTAAAAGTCTCTGTGTGTAAAAGTCTCTGTGTGTAAAAGTCTCTGTGTGCAAAAGCGTCTGTCTGTAAAAAGTTCTGTGTATGAAAAACTTTACAAAAATACGATGCAAACTGTCTTGTACTAGTCATATATTGTCTTGATACTACTCTTCTCGTCTGCCTATAATACATCTTTAATATAGTGTCTCCATACTAACAACAGAAGACTCTGCTCCTCTACGCTCTCGGGCCATCCGTCGTCTAGTTTCAAAAATATTATTGAAAAAAAATCAATAACGAAGACGTTTCAATCCGGATTGAAAAAAATCTGGATTGAAAAAAATCAATCCCTGGACCCTCAGGGCTCCATCAAATCGAGAGTGAGGAGACTGCTTCATGCTTCGAAGATGGAGGCTATACATGGTGGCCTGTGGCTGCGCGACATGTGGTGGAGCTCGAACGGAGGAGGTTCGAGAAGATTGATGACAAGATTCCACAGTTTGGTCAAACAGTTGTGGCCAGGAAAAGAACTTGGAATGGCAAGGATGCATGAGTTTGAGACGACGTCGGAGAACTTCCAGTACATGACACCGGTTGCAGAATGTTGCAGAGTGCTCCAAGGGCCATGCAGTGCTGGACTCTGAGGGCAAGTTCAAAGTGGTGAGCTGCGTGATGAAGGACCTGAAGAACCCTGAGGAGCGAGAGCATGAGTGGGAGATGGTCCCTAGGGAGTTGGAACAGCCGGCGGTACTGAGGAGGAGACTGAAGCAGAAAACATCGGTCTCGACGTTGCAGCTTCCAGAACAAGAACATCGAGATCGCATCCAGATCTTCCAAGCGCTGGCTGAGGAGGAGAAAGACTGATGAACCTACTGTGGCGCCAGCGGCGGCGAAGGGGCTGATGGTGATGAGGCTGCAGCAGATGGCAGCTCAGCAGCGTGAGGATGAGGATGAGATCTTGCAGACCAGAGTGGTCTCAAATCAGGCAGTCTTCCAATCTTCCAGCAGAAGGAACTCTGGACAGACGCCATCAAGAAGGAGATGAAAAGTGTCTTCGACAAAGGAGCTGTGAGAAAGTTGAGCCAGGAGGAGGTGGCCTACTACAAGAGGGAGCATGCAGACAAGCTTGAGGTGGTCCCTGGGAAGGCCGTCCACACGGTGAAAGCTCCTGACGGGAAACGAAAATGCAGATTGGTGGTTTGTGGAAACCATGTTCAAAGTGGTGGCAGAGACTTGACCAAGATGCAGTCAACCAATCTCTAGATATGCAGGAGGCGCTGACAGCATCAGCCTTCGAGTTGGCCCGAGCATGGCAGCACGAAGACGATGGAATGTGGTCGGCTTGGACATCAAGACCGCATTCTTGAATGCCCCACTTGGTGACGTTCACGACAGAAATAAAAGGCATCGGGTATCTGAGGATGAGGCTGCAAACCCTGAGGCTGAAGACCCTGGAGGAGAGGCTGAAGACGCCCAAGGGAAGGTTGAGGCTGAGGATGAGGAGGAGATGCAGACCTTGCCCATGGATGAGATGGAGACTCAGCCAATGGAGGATGAACCCGATCTGCGAATGCAGGCGACCGAGGTGATTGAGGATGACTCGGTGGGCATGCACACCAAAGAGATTGAGGAGATCATGATCAAGATGGTCAGGTCAGGAGATAGATCGAGGTTGATGTTGATGCAGCCGCCAAAGATCTTGGAGCGCCTGGGCCTGAAGAGTTATGGTTGGTAGAGAAAGCACTCTACGACTCTACGGGTTGCGTGAAAGCCCACGATTGTGCAGCGATTACCGAGATGAGATGAAAACCATCCGCGTCAGAGCAGGAGGACGACCCTGAAGCTCTATCAGAAAATCTCTGAGGAGAACCTGTAGATGATCAAGGAAGATCATGGTCCGGACGATGATCCCGACCAGCAGGTCTTGGGATTGGTCTTGGTGTACGTGGATGACGTCTTGGTGATGTCGGACGGCGAGATAGCTCAATGGGTGGTGGCAGAACTCTCAAGACGATGGGAGACCACTCACAGCCACAATGGGCCGATGATCGTGAACCTTTGAGGTACTTGGTAGTCCGTTTCTTCATGCGCAACTTATAAGTTACATAGGCAAGTTACAAAAGTTACAAATACTTACAACCTACTTAACATAGTTTTTATTTTAACATTTTTTAATTGTAATCACAAGTTTGCTAAGAAACATGCAAGTTACTTACAAGTAGGCTAAGTATTTTTTAAGTTTGTCAACATCTCAGAATTTAACTCTATCGGGAAAGGAACAAAGAAAGGTGGGAACCGGTGCGATCCTACATACGCTCGAATCTAAGAAACCCTCAGTTCACTTTCAGTGAGCAAGATGCATGCAAACGGGCGCAGTCCCTTTTTATTCCTGAGGTTGAGCTCCAAGGTTGTGTGAGTTAGGCCCGGATCTTTCTTGTAGATCCAAACTTCTTACTGGACACTTACTGGACTGCTTACGTCCCAAAGTGGTGAAGAAGAAATCCGACACCCCAGGGCCAATTAGAAGACATACAGGGTGGGAGTGAAACGAATAGGGTGGGCCAAATTTCTTGAGGTAGAAGGCTACCCAAACATATTCTGAAAGATAAGATCAATCGTGAATCTTACTCACAGAGTCCCCCATCTTAAGGGGGCGGTTCAAACTTAATCTAGATAAATAAGGCACCTAGATACTATTCTCCCCATCTTACGGGGAGAACTCTGAATCCCCCATCTTACGGGGGCAGCACCTGTCAAGCATCTGGATCTCTCATCTTACGAGAGCTGCTCCTGTTGATTTCTGAATACCCCATCTTATGGGGTCGGCTCCTGTTGAACTTCTGAATACCCCCTCTTACGGGGTCGGCTCCTGTTGAACTTCTGAATACCCCCTCTTACGGGGTCAGCTCCCTGAGCATCCGATACTGATTACAATCAATATGGGGCAAGCACTTTTGATTTCAATGTTTTTTCAATATAAAATATTGATTTCAGAGCCCTTGGTGTTATTTTTCTATATTGATTTGTTTGCTGGGTTTGAAAAGCAAGCCAAAAATCAATATAAAAATCATATAAAAATCAATATAAAATCAATATAAAAATCAAAAAATCAATATTTTCCAATGTTTCCACTTGTCTCCCCTTTCCCTTTTGGACCCCAGACATTGCAGCACCAGCCCCCTCTTTTGGAGGGTTGTATGTACAAATTTCAAGGCAAAGTGTTATCCTTTGCCAAGGATCAGGACCCTTTCTCAAGGATTAGCTCCATCACTCCCTTTTTCAAGGGATGTCCTTTCTCAAGGGATGCCCTTTCTCAAGGGCCTCTGGCAACTTACCCTTTTGCAAGGGTTTTATCCTTTTGCAAGGATCAGTGCTGGTATCTTTCCCTTTCCCAAGGGATGTCCAAAGAGCTCCAGGGCTAAGGTGGCAGTGCCCTTTTGCAAGGGGTTTC